ATCTCAATCTTTTATTTCACTCACCTATTTTTGATTCCTTAATAAGGCACCCTTTTGCTTATGGTCCATTGATTGAGGATGTTTTTGCACTATCTCTTCCTTTTCCACCATTACATCCTTTTGCTATAGTCGTTGGTCCTTCTCATATTATCCCTGTTGAAAAGGGAAACCATTCCCACTGCTCTTGGGTTGCTTTTCTAGATTGAACATGTTTCTGACAATGATCTGCACTCAGATTTCCTTGATATGGATCCAGATTCAAAGCCTTCCAAAGAAAAACCCTCTTCAGCTAGTATGTCAAATTTTTTAAAGAATAAGCTTTTTGATATGGAGAAACAGATCAAACTTGTTAGGAAAGAACAAAAATTGATCTTTTCCAATCAAGTCAAGTTACAACATAACATGAATGATTTCCTTGACAAATTTTTATTGCTAGAAGAATGACTAACTACCATGGTTGTCCCTACATTCATGCTTGAAGTGCCTCCTCCCATTCATGCTCCACCTCCACCTCCTCTTTATAGGGAGATTTATTATCCATCTTCTAAGTAGTCTAAAAACTCTTCTCCCTCCAAGGAAGATTGAAGACCCCTTTTGATAGTGACAACAAGGGGAGTAGTTTAGGACCTACAAAATTTACGGTTCATGGATTACTATAACCTTGGTTAACTTGGTTGTTGCACTATGTGAGCACTTTTTGTATGAATCAATTTGATTTTTTTTATACCTATTGTGTTGTAGGTTGTATCTTTGACACTTGACATTTTTTGATGAACTATGATTAAACTAATTCCATTCATATTTTACCTTTGAGCAAATTTATTTTATTAATCATTATACACATATATTGAGAGGGAGTTGTATGATCTATTTAATTCATAAACAAAATGGGAGTCATCTGCAAAGTATATACTTTTCTTTAAATTTTCCTATAAGTTTTGTCATCGTCAAAAGGAGGGAAATTGTTAAATCTTAGTCCCAAATTTAGAAAGAAGAGCAATCATGTATTGTTAATAACTTTGTTCAAGTGTTTCAACAAAAGTTGATCAGATCGATCAGAAGGTTATAAATGATTATATACTTCTTGAACAAAAGGAAAATTTTACAAGACCATTCTTATGACATCTTTATAGGAAAATTAATAATATGTCGAGGAATGATGAGTAACTCTAGTAACAATGTATGTTTTAAGCAACTAAATGACTATCCCAAGTTGTTGATTAGAAGCTTTCAACGGAAACATTTCTTCTTTGAAGTCTTGTCTTGAAAGACTTGCTAAGAAGGCACTTCATTTGCAAAGACTGTTAGATACAAAACATTATAGTGATGTTAACATCAAACATAAAGAACAAAGCAAGCTCAAATAAATCTATTTGTTGAGTGCCTATAAAGGAAAGACAATGGTCTCATTTTGAAGTAAGTAAGAACAAAGAAACAAAAATCACTCAAACTCAACAAGTTACACTCTTTGCTACTTCATCCTTAGATCTTTTAGAGATATTCACTTCATATTTGTAATTTAGATTTGTAATAGAAAAAAAAGAGAGTGAGATATCTTCCTTAGTGAAAGTTTCATTATAGCAGATCGGCTTGTGATCTTTGCGCTCTGTAAGAACACAATAACCCTTTCTTGTAAACCTTTTCTACCCAAAACTGAGAGTACAATGGTGTAGGAAGGAACAAAAAATCACAATAGGTGTTATGTATAGTCTCATAGTAGGTGATTGTGAGGTTGTCCTTCTCAGTAGGTGGTTAAGTGTTAGCAATTGATTATTTAGTCGTGGTTGAATCTATGCAGTAGTTTGTGTTGTGGTTTTTAATGAAAATCTCATAAGATTATGTGAAAATTAGAAGTAACTCAGTTAGAGTGAACCAATATAAATCTTATGTTCAAATTTCTCCTTTCTCATCTCCTTACTTGCTTATTTGCCTTATTGCATTTTCATTGCATATTTTGAACCATAAACAAATTAACTCTAAAATTGTTGCAATAAAAATATATTAAGTATCAAAATCATTCTTTCTTAGATAATTTACTTTTTAAAAAATCAATTAAAGAAGAATTTTTTAAAAGGAAACAATTCAACCATTCTTATTATATTTTCACATTCATTTCAAATATGTTATTGTATTCTAAATATATAAAAAAAATTACAAAACTGATGCTTTTTAATTTTATAGCCATGTTACTCATATAGTGACAATCTAAAATTTTGAAATAGTGAGATAATATTTATATATAAACTAGTATTATATTATACATGATTAATTTTTTTTATATAATTAATGTTTTTAATGTTTAAATTATATTATAGTTAAAATGCATAATAAATAAATATATTTAAATACATAAACTAAAATTTGAAAATATAATTGATGATTTAATTTTTGTTATTGAATTATTTTAATAATTAATAATTTCTTAAAAATATTAAAATTTAATTAAAATTAGAAATAAAATATGCATTAGACTGAAAAGTTAGATAACAAAAAAATATTTATTCACATAAAAATGAAAATAATATTTTTTTATCCATGAAAAAATACAAGACAAACTAAGGTCTAACAAAAATATACTCATGATATCAACCAAAGCAATAAAACTTAACTTTGGAGGACAAGCTTCTCATGTTACAAAAATATTTGAATAAGAAAAACCTTATTTAGTCAATTAATCTGCACATTGATATCTCTCTTAAGGTGTGATGAAAAGAAACTTGTCAAGGTTGTCCACTAATAGATTTGATTTTGTTAATGAGAGTTTTTTGTGTTACAAGGAGGATAACCTTGTAAGACTAAATTATACGTCATTAAATAATTAGTCTCACATATGATCCACCTAAATCGAACATCCCAAGCTACTCCTAAACCATGATAGATAGTAAAAACTCTACATGCATGTTAATTTACCACATAAATTACTAATGAGGCCCCTAAATCTTAATATGTCAAGATTTCTCATGTTGCTACCGTCGACATTCAGCTTTACATAATCATTAGTAAAAGGCTTCTACGAAATATACCTTTGATTTTGAATGGTATGTGTTGTATTGAATGAATAAAGTACTTCATTCATTCATCTTATTTGACGAGTAGTGTACCAAACAACTCATACTTGATCATTAAAGATCTCCACATTCCATCTTTTTCAAAATATGCCAACATGCACAAGTAAACAAAATAACATGTTGACCCTGAAGTTAAGTCATGAACCAACTTTCCTCATCCATAGAATAGAAATTTAACAAATTGTCCAAGCTAAGAGAAGTTTAAATTTGCTTAGCACGAGCATAATTTCTAAGTAAATGAATGACACTCTCCTCTTCCATGTCATGCCTACAACAAAAAGGATCAAAAGAAATGTGCAGCTTAAAGCGAAATAAGTTAGTAGGAAAACTATTTTGGAGAATAAGCCATATGAAATGTTTTTTTAAGGAAGATTTGGCTTCTAAACTCAAATCTAGCTCCTTGTGAAGGTTGAGTGAATGGTAGGCTCTTCCATTAATCAGTCATAGGCAGAAATTTTTAATTTAACATAGTTGAGAGATAATCTTTTGATTACAAGAATACAGTGTAAGATTTATATTCAAAGAGAATAAAGAATATTATGAATATCTAATCAAAAGAATGAATATGACCAAATTAAAATAAATTGGTGGGACAGTTTTTATAATATAAATTATTTTTTTTACTAGATTTCAAATTATAATGATAATTTATAATTCTAAATATATTAAATTTAAAAAGGATAAAAAAAATTGTAGGGCAGTTGCCACCACTCTCTTTCAAATGAATTTGTCCTTACTCATGTAAAATATTTTCAAGTTTTTCATTAGAAAATAGAGTTATTGTGTTTTTAGTTTCTTATTTTTTGTCGATTTGTGTTTTTAATCCCTCAAAAAATCTTTGATTGATTTTAATCCTCCAAAAATTATTCTATTCTATTTTTAGTCTTTTTTTTTTGTCAATTTTCATTTTTAGTCCCACAAAAAGTATTTGACTGCTTTTAGTCTCCTAAAAATTATTTGTTTTTAGTCCTTATTTTTTTTGTTAATTTCCATTTTAGTTCATCAAAAACTTGGTCACTATAATTTTTATTTGTTTTTCATCTCTCTAAAATTTAGAATTATTATTTTTAATTTCTAAGATTAAGTTATGATATCATGTGTTACCCACAATTAACCCAATTTAAAAATATCCCAACATGTTTTTGAGGGACCAAAATTAAAAATTAACAAAAAATAAGAGACTAAAAAAAGAATGGAACAATTTTTATCACTAAAGCCAGTCAAATTTTCTTAAATGGCTAAAAATGAGAATTGATAAAAATAAAAAATAAAAAAAGATTAAAAACATAATTAAGCTTAGAAAACACGAATGGTCTCCTTAAGTAAAAATTTTCTTTTAATTAAACTTTTTTTATTACAAGATTTGGACCTAATATCTTATTTATTTATACGTATAATTTTTTATAAATATTATTTATATATAATAAGTATTCATTATGTACAATACACGAACTAAAATACTAGTAATCCATAAAAACACTTTCATTTAAGAAAATTATTTTTATATTCAAATTAATGGAGAACTGGCGAATTTAAAAGAAAAATATTAAAACACTAAGACATTATTTAACAAAATTATATCGAATAAAAAAAATGAACATATAAATATGGGTAGTATAGGAATTACATAAATAAAAATTATTTATTTTCTCGTGTAAGTTCAATTTGATTTTGAACTGATTTTTTATTTAAAATTAAGATTTGACCAAATTTAATAAAATCTTATTTTTGACTACTTAATTTTTTATTTGAATTTTCTATTTACATTGAACTAGGGCTTTTTACCTTCACGTTTATAAGAAAAAAAATCAAGAAAAATTGAATTAAATTTTCTTATAAATTAAAATTGACTTCTGTACATTAAATTTCAATAAAAATTAACATACATAAAATAATTTTAAATTATAATTTTATTTTATTTTATTCTCCTAGAAGTAATTTCATATTAATTTATTCCGAACATGATTATTAATTCATAATACCCTGTCACCCTACCTACCTACTATCCACGCTGGACATGGATGAGTATTTGCTTGCCATCACCTAATTTTTGGGCTCTAAACACAACGGGTAAAAAGAGAAACATTACCCCCCAATGAACATTACAAACTAGGGGCATAATTGCTGTGACACTTTAAATTGTTGTAAGCTCATCCTAAATTCTTAATGATCTAACATGTTGAGTGACTACGTGAATTCAAAAATCAAAACTTTTCACAAACTAATGCAAAAACAATGTCCCACAAAAAAAAATGAGGGGAAAATAATATTTGTCAATGATTTTCATTCCTTGAAGTCATTTTTGTCATCAAGAGGAATTGGTCTGTTCCTCCAAAACACAGCAAGAGCACTCCCACCAAGCTACAAGAAAACAGTGAAAAATAGTCATCAATAAGAGATCTGTAAATCCTTTTACAAGGAATGAACAAAACAAAACAGTTTTAAGAGCAGGAGAAATATCCTATCTTACAGCCATGCAGACAACACTAACAGCAGAAGGAACAGCTACTAGGGGGTTTTTAAAGTGCTTCTGAGCAAGAAAAAATCCAAGTGCAGAGCTCTGTTGATTAAAAAAAATGTTAGACAAAATGATGAAGCATAAAACAATACCTGGAGGAGTTACTTGATTTTGATAAGAGAGATCTATGACGCATAGTACAACTTTAAACATCCATTGAGAATACAAACGTGTATCATTGACACAACTCAACCCTTCACTAGAAACACAATTCAGTGTGTTTGGCAACATATCTAATGCCACCGGACGTGAATTGAAAGTAACTATCTATGTAACACGGATTCAAACACGACACATACACAAACTCTGAGGTACAATAAAATTAAAAAAATATAGGATACCTAGACACGACATATATATAATATATAATATAAATAATATGACAAAAAAAATTATATATTAATATAATAATATCTTACTAAATCTAAAAAACAAATTACTTATAAACACTATAATCCATAACAAAACACTTTCGGTTAGTTTCGATTCTACAATTTTAATTCTATTACGTAAAGGTCAAGTAAGGAAAGATAATTGATTCTTTTTCTTGTTTCTATTTTTATCAAGACTTTTTCTTTTTTAAAGAATCTCAAATCCTCCCTTCTTTGTTTTTGCTTTTATCAAGATTTAAAAAAAAAAAATCTCAAATCTACTCATCAGAGAGAGTTGGACCACACACTTCAAGATGAAGATGTGTCCGTTTTGCAAGTGTCCGCGATGAAGACGTATTTTGTGGCACATCCGCCATCATGTACGCTCCAGAAAAGTGTCTGCCACCGTGTCCCACTTTTTCCATAAAAATTAACGTGATTCTTGCTTGAATATGGATCTTGGAAGTGTATCAAAACATGTCCTCGATGTCATCTCATATTATTAATCTATAGATTTGATATCATCATGAGTTTTTTTTCTCTCCTTGATCACTATACTTCTTCAAGCTTTGAAAATTCACACGTGTGCTTTAATGTCCATTTTCTAAATTGATACATAATTAACAAAAGCAACACGCGTATGGAGAAGTGGAAAGATTCATAAATCTTTCAGATGCGAGAAATGTTCTCAACCCAGATAAACAATTTAAGAGAACAATGAGGTATATAGAGGTATGATGAACAGGTTTACCTGCATCCCAAAATCTATAGATATAGTGCGTGATGTGGACTCGCCAAATGATATTCTTGAAACCCAATAACCAAGAGCAAATGCAGCAGCATGTAGGAAAACAACTGGCAATACTAATTGTGCTCCTTGAGCTTTTATTACATCTGAAACTAGCCCAATCTGAAAAGTTAATACACGTCAATTTTCCATGCAAAGCAAGAACAACCAATGGTAATTTACAAAGGAAAAAACTGCTAGCTATCAGAAAATACTGTTGGTGAACTTCATCTTCTAGAAATTAGTCGACTTACTGAGATTGCACAGAGCAGAGTGCTCAAAATGACTCCTATCAAAGGAGTAACAGTGATTATCTTTGTAGTGAACTTGGGAAAAAATTCATTTGCCAAAACTGCCAGATAAAGCAAAGACTTAAAAAATCATCCTAACCTTCAAAAGTGAGAGTATAAACTAGTAAAGACATGCTATAAACCAACCAACTCACATATAACTTGAAAGATTCATCTCTTACCTCCCACAATCGTTGGGACAAAGACAACCTGAAAGGTACTAAGAGCCAAACCCTGCAAAAGGGAAGGAATAACAACTTCACTCCACGAGTGAAAATAATAAATACAAGAAATGATGAGAAAAATCCCAGCAGAGACCGAAAAATGCTGAAAATGTAACAAAGAAAGACAAGGTATCCTATTCAGAATCCAACATCTATATTCACTTCTTCACTCGATTAGGAAGGAGAAAGTGTGAATTGTATTGTCAAGTGCCAACTTTGCTTTATTTTCGTAATTATTAGGAAGTAGGTATTATATAATTTAAATGAAGAGCTTTTTTTTTTCCAAATCCCTTTCATGTCTAAATATTGGCAAGCAACAACTTACAACAGCATCAACTGGAACGAGCTGACCAGCAAGAAGCTTTGTAAGGAGCGGGGTCATTATAATAGCTCCAATAGTTGAACACCTGTAGAACAGTAAATAACATCTTTAGAATCTCTGAAGCCTAACTTTTAAAAATGAAGGTTCTCTTAATCAACAGCATTACTATACACACATAACCACATTGCTGCTAAAAATACACAATGAAAAAAGCCAAAATAATTTCTTCTAAGCATAATATGACACAATTGCACATTGCTTTTGAATCATTCAGCTCAATCTGTTTAAAGAGGATATTTATTTACATCGAATTGTTTTGCATTCAGAGATGTCAGCGTCCATGTTCTTCTGGTTTAAAAATGTATTTTAACCTTGAAATGCAAAAAAATTGAACAATCAAGAGGTTCTAATTACAGACATATTAATTCAAATTCTTCCATTTCTCCTTTCAAGTGATAAGAAGCACACGTTTTGGAAGAAATTTCTACAAGGATTAGAAACTTGCTTTTTAGAGTGCAGGTAATGATGGATATGATAATTAGCATTGCTGACTTCAATGCATTCGTTAATTTTATATTACTTATATGATACCAATCTTTAACCAAATAAAAAACTGATTTTGCAATTCAAAATGACAAAATTTACAGATTGGATGAGAGACAGGAGCCAAAACAATGTGTTTTACAAATCTACGTAGTGAGCAAGAATATAAATTACAGAAATCACCAATATTTAATAAAATAAACTGTAGCTATGAGCAGAAGTAAAAATATTTTAAGTGTAGAAAATAAAATACAAAAGCAAACAAACAAGGGAATGCATGTTAAACATACGTTGTCAAAAGAACAGAGAGTGCAACATTTCCCTTGGATAAGAATGTTGCAACATTTGATGCCTGACCTCCAGGACAACACGAAAGCAGAATAAGACCAGTTGCAAGAGGAGCCGAAAGTTTTAGAGTCTGGGAATCAGAGATTGATGTTAGAAAATTATGCATGATACACATTCTGATGAGTTATGGTGCATAATACACTAACTAGTAAAAGTACAAGATAAATTACCAAGCTTACAAATTTTGGGATCCAATTAAGAAAGCAAATTTTTTTTTAGTAGGATAAACAAGAACAGGACTAAAGTAAAAAGATGTGACAAAACAACAATAGGCATTGAACTACAGTCTCTTCAACCGGTAATCAAAACATGTCAGTGCAGATCACAAAATTGGCCTAAATAAATAGATAGCTATACCCATATCCATGGAAATTACAAATGTCTTCATGACCATGGTTATCAATCTCGAGTGATAACTCATAATAACTACCGATTTTACAAGATTGGTCAGTCCTACCTATGCAACTCGGAAGTAAACTCATTTTTTAGCAATCTCAAGCAATTTCGTGTAATCTCGAGCAATCTCACCCCCTCTATTGCTAAAAGTAAAAATTGGTCTTTTCTTAGTTTTTTATTTGTTGTTTTAAGAACTTGTATCTTGTGTGAAATTTTACATGATTTGCTACTAAACATTGCTACTTTAATATTGTAATTTGCTATTTTATTTTAATATTGAGTTGAAATGTTGAGTTATTATGTTATTTATAAGTATTATAACATTTTTTATATTAAGTAAACTCTTACGATTCGAGTTTATGGGACATCAATGAAATTATGTAAATTCTCGAAATTGACAACCTTGTTCGTGACTATCATTTGATCTTATACCTTCATAAGGATAATAAATTGAAAGGGAAGCCCTGGTAATCACATAAATAAAATTCTTATTTGTATGAATATGTGGCCCAAAATTATCTGCCACTATTAGCTAGGTTCCATGTCATTCTCCTTCAAACTTCAAAGATATTAAATCTGCAATTCATACCAAAAAAAAAAAAAAAAAAAAAAAACTTGACATCAAGAAGTACCATACCTCGTTTACATTAAGCTCCATGGCACCTGTATTTTTATTTAAAATTCAATTTTTTTCTTAGTTTGGAAATTTAATCCTGCCACGGAATACTCCACTATAATTGGTATGAATAACCTTGTCAAAGATATAGAATAACTTGGAAATATAGCATAGATTTTGCTCAGCTTATTATTGGTGAAGACAGAATTAAGAGACAAAATGAAACAACCAACAAGTGACCAATATCATCATTTTCATTTTAACAGAAAGATCTCTTTAATTCTTTGATCAAACAAGCACTAATCAAAAGATACATATAAAATGTAGAAATTACTATAAATATAGTGAGGTGTAAAATACTCAAATAATAGTTACCATTGACATAATGGTTTTGACAACAAGCTTAGGAGGCAATATTAAAATAAGAGGACATAACTCATTTCAAGAACTGATCTGAATGAATCAAAGAGACAGTAAACCATGGAAGTGCAAAGGTAATAACAAAAAATACCATTACAATGGTGAAGCCTAGCAAGGGTTTAATTAAATATTGTGCAAGAAAACCTACACCCACCTGCAAAAACAAAATCAATTATATTTAAAAGGAGAAACAAACAAACAAACAAAAATTCCTTTAAATATCAGTTATTGTCCCTTACAGTCCATGGATTTCGCAGACACCGTCTGAAATCCTCAAATGTCAATGTCAAGCCCATACAAAGCATGAGGAAACCCAAGCCAAGAGTAAAAAGATCTTTCTCCAACCAAGTTACCTGGAATAGAGCCATAACTTCACTGCAGTTAATCAACATATTTCCACTCAACCATGTACGTAGCTGAAAAATTCAGAGTAATTACAGCAGTTGGCTTGTAAATTCCGATGATGGCCCCCAAGATGACCTGCCCATGTAAGTTAGCAAACTTTCAAACTACAGACCAGGTAAGAACTTTGGAAATTTTGAGAAACTGTGTTGAAGAAGAAATGGACTGACCCACACAGGAAAAAGAGTGGTTAAGGTTTCAATCACTTTCTCATACTGGCTCAGCTCCCCAGCACTTTCAGGGATGTCTCCAGAAATGTCTGTTGTAGCCTTGCACAATATTTGAGAGTTCCTAAACATAGCAATAAAGAAGTGATTAGCACTTTAAATTAAGAATCTGAAAGCTGATGTTCAAGCAGCAGAAAATAGATTAAAAAAAAAAAATTGCCAATCAGTACCTAACCAAAAAACAGGACAATTTAAAGTTATGGAAGCACTGTCATCAAGTGGTTGTTAGTTTTCATTCCATTTTCTCTTTGTTTCTCACATTCTCATTTTAGCTCAGGAATGCAGAAATGGACATAGTGCTATCAAGCAGTTGACGTTTTCTTCCCCCCCCCCCCTCTCTAAGGGGAAAAGAAGGGAAGGAATACACTTTAATCATGAAGAGCATTAGTTCAATTATAGCTCAGCTAAGAAGAAAACCAGAAACATAGCAAGCTTTGGTATAATTTACGAAAGAATATATCACTCTACCATAATTCTTATGCTTGAGGACATAAAGAGTATACTTAAATTCCAGACCTGGAAGATACGTTTATAATTAATTAAAAATAAGAGAGAGAGATTACATAGGTTGAGAATGAGAAGAAACAACCCAACCCATCGGATGCTGCTTACATGTAATTAATCATTAGCAAATAGTTACTCCAATCCAACACTCATCAATAAAAACAACTTGTGGAAATGTGAAAGAGGCCTTGATTATTATTATTTTTTTAAAACCATTTCTTCATGAAGATTGTAGTTTCATCACTCACTGCTAATACTTCCTGTAGGTTTATTTTCTTTAAAACAACAGGTAATCAAGATTTACCAGCCTTTATCCACATTAAGATCTTGTACATTCCTCTACAAAACACTTTGTTCTGAGCTCTAGTAACTTAGTGCTGTCATGTAAGTAAATAACTTGCAAATCCAATGGAGAGTACATGGGAAAAACATTGACCATCTTACTCAATATAAAGCCAGTAAATGACAACCCTCAGTTTACTGTCTATAACACAGGAATTAAGAGTCTCAAACAATCAATGTGACTCATATTATTTTTAGGAAAGAAATCTAATATACCTACATTTTCATTACAAGAAGTCTAGTATGCCTTTAATTGATTGGATATCATTGCCCGCTGAAAAGCAGGATATCAAGAAAAGCATCACCACAATATTTTTTTATTTAACAACTGGCTACAGTTTCCACTCACTGTGATGTTTAGACTTTTCCAGTTTTCCTCTTTTCCCCGCTCCCTCATTTTGAAATAGAAGAATCGAGAACTCTTTGCCTAAGGCACTAATCTTTACTTACAAATAAATACAATAAATAATTCAATACGTGTGGAAGAACAGAATAGGCCTTTATACAAAAGCTTAACAATTTTCCACCTTCCCTAAACTCGTGATTGCAAAACTTCATCTACACAATAATGACAAACAAAAGCTCCCCTAACCACTCTCAGATAATAGCTGTAAAGTTTCACGCTTTTGCAAATTATATAGATGTCAGCCAAACAGGTTCTTAATTCTAACACACAGGGGGCCTACTTATCTGGCTTCTCTGGGAAGAACTTCAATTTCATCATAGCCCAAGTAATTTAGCAGTATAACAAAATTAGACATCCCTTTTAGACATGTGGCAACTAGTCAGTCCTATGGCTTCAATTTTGAATCATGTGAATTCCATAAACATATACCAACTTTTGAATCACAGGGATTTCAAAAAATTACCTCCTAGAAGCTTCAAGGTTTAAGCGACGTTCTAAAACAGCAACAACTGGACCCCGCAACTCGCTTCGAATTGCACAGCTTGTTCCACTCTGAGGCAGATAAAAGTGGCCTTTCACTTCTATAAAGAGAAACAATAATACGAAAGTTATCAACAAGGGAATGAAAGAAACAAAAAGGCAGCGAAAGAAGCATACCCAGATGGGAATTATGAAGCTTCCGCGAAATGGGAGTGCGAAAGGTTGGGTTAAGTAGCGCATCATACACCCCAACTCTATGGTCTCTGAAAATGATGGTAGAAATGGAAGGCATGGTTTGGATGCAACAGTGTGTGTGGCAGTTTGGAACTTGGGAATTTACTCCGATGTCGTGGAAACCAATGGCAATGGATATGATATCACAAGCATCAAGCATGCCTTGCCTTGCCTCATCCCTATTTATTGTGCCCCTTCGAATTTCAAGTTAAATTTGCGACTCTTATAGTTTAGCTAGAGCTAGGGATGACAAGTTGAGTCCACAGGAAACGCGAGAAACCCAGGTCTTTTGTTGTCTCCAGTGACCATGTCTTTTTGTAAAAGGGTGTCACACATAAAATAAAAGAGATATGGAAAAAGTTCATCATAACATAACACTCAAATACCTTGCACCTAACATCTATTCAAACCAATGGTTAATTAAATTTATGAATATGATTAATTTTATTTTATAAATGGTTATTATTAGTAAGGAATTTAATTATGTATAATTCTTGTTAAGCACTAGTGTATTAAAGACACTCCTTATCTATCTTTATTTTTATAAAAATAAAATAAAGGTGAGTATTAACAATAATAAGAGTGTGTGATTAATTTTTGAAAAACTAGTTGAGAAATAAAGAGTAGTTTGAGAGGAAATATATGAATAGGATTGTCATTGCTGATGGTTGAGAAATAAAGAAATAAAGTAACCCTAAATGGAATATTTTTTTTTTTATTAATAGTATGAATTTATGAGATTAAAATAAAAATATTATTAGATATTCCAATAATTTATTGTCACTATTAATGAAAAGATAATTAATCACTATTAAATGTTTTAATAGTTTGACATTTAAATTAATCAAAATTGTATATAATTATATTTAATTATAATTTATGAGATAAACTTATTAATCATATTTAAACATATAATTAACTATGAGTGAAATCAATATTTTGATAATAATATTAATTACATGAATGACAAAGTTAATCATATTTAAATATTTCAAAAATTTCATAATAATTTTTTAATTGTATATAACTAGTATGTTAACATGTATGGTTTACAAGATATATTTTTATTTTATATAACTAAAATTTATAATAAATATATAGATTATATTATAATTAAAATTCATAATAAATTAATATATATATATATATATATTATTTTATATGTATGATAAATAAGTTATATTGTAATATAAGATTATTGTTAATTAAGATAATTCTTAAAAATATTAAAATTTAACTTAAAAATAAAAATATACTAAAATGGATTTAAAAAAATTAATAAAAATCTCTAAAATCAGTCTGTCTAAGAATAATAGTTAAATAATTATTAAATAAATATCTCCTAAAAATATTTTTTTTAAAATTATTTTAAATTATCTATATTATTAATAAAGAAGATATTTCTTTTGATGTTCAAACTTTTGAATTATTTTATTCTTATAACTTTTACATTATATCTCATTTGCATTTTATAACTACTTAAAAACCGTATTATATTATTAATTATTAATTATTAATTAAATTTTTTTATTTATTTAAAAGTACACAAAGATAAAAAAAAAATTCACTAATATGTATAAAGAGGTTATATTAATTATTTTTAATCACATAAAATAAATCATATTTATACATGGTTAATAAAATAAACCATATTTATATATGTGTGTGCTTGATGGACGTTAAGTGGAAAAAAAATTTACGTACGATCATCGAGACTCAAGAAATAAGTTGTATATAAACTTAGAATTGGCACCCATGTATGATGTAATACAATGTAAATATCTCTGAATTATTTTAATATTTTACTTTTTATTTTATTAAATTATTCTTATTATTAAAACAATTATTTACTATATGTAGCTTTTAATTCATTTTTTATTTTATAGTTGTTTGAAGATTAAAATATTAACATATACAATTTTAGATATTATAAATATTAATAAAAAAAATTATTATTATTATTTTAAATATGATTCTGATATTTTAAATATATATGATAATATTATTTTAAGTTTATTAAAATAAAAATATCTTTCCAATATGTATAATTTGAAATTTTAATATTATTTTGATCTTAATTAATTTTAATTTTATTTTAAGTTATGAAATTTTAATTGATACAATAACTTGATGTATTTTGATTTAAATATTTTTATATTTTTGCTTGATAATTTAGAAAACTTTATACCTTTAAGTAATATTTCAAAATTCAAGCTTATATAATATTAATATTATAATAATACTATTATCATATGTGATTTTTTATTATGTTTTTCTCTTTTAATAATATTGTTTCAGCTGTTTTATATTTAAGATTATTAGTGTTATTTTTAATATTATAGGATCGAACTCTAGTAATTTCTACTCTTCTTTAACCATATTTATCCTTTTATTATTACGTGTGATATAATAATTTTCATCATGTAATTAATGTATGAAGTTTTATCACTCAATTTTAAGCAATGCAACGAGACGAGGCAAACTTGCGAAGTAATAAAAAAAATACACACAAGAAAGGAGGAATTGAATTGTATACATATGTGTACTATCCGTACTGCAAGGCCGAGCTCCCAGCTCGGCATCGCAGCGCATGACGACCTCGGATACACGCTACGTGACGTCAGCTCGTCACTTAACCAAATCATAACTGATCTGAGGAGATCTCGGTCCAGACGAGATCTGCTATCTAATCAGATCACAATTGATCTCAGGCCCAAGGCCCAACACAACCCTAATTCACACTAAGGTACGTGCATTACTTATACGAGACTCATACTCATACAAATCCTAACTTTAGCATCGGAGTCTCTTTTGCAGGTACCACCCCCATCTTGAAGCATCAAGCGTACCAGCGAAGGAGGCTCACCAATCTTACTCGGAGGATCATCTCTACAGCAGATTTCCGGTAAGAACATTTGGCGCCCACCGTGGGGCCGATCAAGACAGCTCTTATCGGCCACGCTTATGGTATTCACCAGAAGTCATAGCAGACGCGCAACAGACGACGTAGATCACTCAACTACCATGGACAACAAAGCCACATTGAGGAGACTGATCGACCAGGTCGAACAGATGCGGCAGCAGCACGACGCCGACCTGCGAAACATGCGTGCCCATCACGAAACCGACCTAGCGGCGATGCGAACCGCCAATGAAGCTGATCTAGCGGCGCTACGCGCTGAAAACGAGCGGATTCGCGCCCCGCTCCCTTGACGCCCCTCTGATCATCCTCCTGAGGCGAGCAACCTCCACGAGGAAGAAGGGAACTCGGTCTCTCAGGCCCCAGACTGCGACTAGGGCACCGACTCCACGACCTGCCGCGCATCGGTCTCACGTTCCGACGAACATGTCGGCCCATGAAGTCAGCAAAGCCCCAACTCATGTCACAGGGGGTCAGGCAACCTTCCGCCGTCATCCCTTTGTGGACGGCATCAGGAAGAACCCCCTCCCTCGGGGGTGGAAGCCTCTCCACCTCGATCGCTATGATGGCACGACGGACCCCGATGAGCACATCGACCTGTATACAACACAGGTGAACCTTTACACTAACGATGATGCTATTTTATGTAGGGTTTTTCCGACCTCACGGTCGCGCTCAACTGGTACACCCAGCTTCCTGCTAAATCAATCGACAGCTTCAACACTCTGGTCAGGCGATTCACAGTGCATTATGCAACGAGCCGACCTCACCACATCACTTCGACTGCCCTAGCCAGCCTCAGACAGAACGACGACGAGCCACTTCGGGCGTTCATGGAGCGATTCGCGGCCACCTCGGTGAAGATTAGAAATCTGAACCCCGAAATCGACCTGCATGCCATGCTCATGGCACTCAAGCCCGGGCCCTTCGTCAACAGCCTATGTCGTGAGGCTCCTCACGATATGGACGAGCTTCGTGCCCGAGCAGCGGGCTACATCCATATGGAGGAACACTCCACTTTCCGTGACCAGGTTCGTGGCAAAGGACCAATGAAGCCAGAACAGGACCACAAAGACAAAGTCAAGGTCAACAACGATAGCCAGTTCAAGAAGTCGGCTAGGGCAAACAGAGGGGGAAGATATGACATCTACACTCCCCTGAATGCGCCCCGCGTACACATACTGAGGCCAGCAACAATAACCTGCTCATTCTGCCATCACCAGGTCACACCCCCAACAATGCCGACAAATCCAAGCACTGTCGGTATCACAGAAATCACGATCACACCACCGAGGAGTGCCGCTCACTACGGGACTGTATTGAAGAACTCATCCAGGCGGGCCACCTCGGCCAATATGTCTAGCGACAACAGGGTCACCGAGGATGCTATGGTGGACGAGGACGAGGCAGAGGCCGTGGTTCAGGAGCTCGCACGGACCAACCTTCTGGCTCTCAGCAGCATGCCAGCGGAGCAGTGCAAGCTGAGATAAGCCAAGAAACAGGACCAGCTCCCCTACGGGGAGTTATCAATACAATTGTCGGTGGCTTTGCAGGGGGAGGTGCCACCCGCTCAGCCCGGAAGAGACACCTACGCAATATCAACATTGTCAATTTCGCTACCTCGGCTTCGCACCAAAGTTCGCCACCGATCACCTTCATCGATAACGACTATGTCGGCGTCAGTCCCAACCAGGATGATCCCATGGTCATAGTCGTGGAGGTAGCCAATTGGGAGGTGCAAAAGACACTGATAGACCAAGGGAGCTCGACAGATGTCTTTTATTGGCCGACCTTCCTCAGGTTAGACATCCCCCACTCTCTCATCCAACCTCACACAGAACCCCTAGTCAGTTTTGTAGGCGAGCGAGTGCACACTCGGGGATACGTGGACCTGCTAACCACATTCAGACTCTCTCCGGACACAAGGAGAATCATGGTCCGATACCTCCTTGTAGAAGCTAATACCTCCTATAACATCATCATTGGGAGACCCACGTTAAATCAGCTTGGAGCAGTGGTGTCCACTCCACACCTCACTATGAAGTTCCCGGGAAATGACGGTAAAATCATCTCCGTCAAAGCAAATCAGAAGACAGCTCGACAGTGCTACGCCGAGAGTCTGAAGATCTCTTCGTCCAGCGAGCCAAGCAAGAAGGATCCTCCCACCGTGGCTCACATCACCCACGTGGAAATCGCCGATCTCGACCCGAGGTCCGATCCCCATGAGGAGCGGCCGAGCCCCATTGACGAGCTGGATGACCTCCAGATAGGGAAACTTCCCGGGCAGTGCACAAAAATCAGCAGGCAGCTGAGCCTGGAATTACGGCAGCAACTCGAAGCTGAGATCCTCCAGAACGCCGACCTCTTCGCCTGGTCCAGCGCCGACATGCCAGGTATAGACGCTGACTTCATCTGTCACAGGTTA